GGGGGACCGAACTGCAAACGCGCGACAGTTAAAATGCTTTTTAGCGCATGCATCACACTCACACAACCGAAAGCAGCAGGACAGCACACATGCAAACACTTCTCTTATACATATATATTACTATGAATGTGTTGATGCATAGGTATACAGTTACTTCTAAAACTTCCATGTGCGCATAATACAGTGGGACCGCTTGAATAGATTTGCCTGTGTGTTTGTGGAATTCTGCAATTGCAGAAGTGTGCTTTCTAAAGAGCTCCGCGCTGCTGCTAGACCAAACCGTAAGGACAACAATATGCAGCACTATTAGCAGTACAAGGGCAACAACATGCAGGCATATATCATTCGTCAGATACCAGCCCAAAGATAAATGTTGTACTCGTAAATGCACAATTAACACGACGCCATGACTCAAAGTGCATTTTAGTGCTCATTTTAGCCAACGGGAAATACGACTATTTGCATCACACACGACCAGAGTACTGCAGCGCACTATTGTTCACTTCTCGTGGACTGGGACTTACTGATTTTAGCACAAATTATAGGAGTTCATTTGAATGTTCATGCTTTCGCACTTTGATTTACTTCAATCGGCCATGGCTAATGGAAGAAGAGTACTTAGCATATGCTCCTACATTGGATTCGTATGCGCAACCAAGTATTCCGCTAATGCGGTTTTTTTATTATTTTTTACGGGTGTAGACACCGCTTACGCGGTTATAGCCAAGTTAGCAACAGGACTCCTTTTATTTGCATGTGGCCCCAATTGGAGATTCTAAGCGAAGCCAGGTCCATCTCCGCCTGGTCTTCCCAACGGAGTCGAAGTCTTCTTTTTCCTCTGCTTCCTTCGGCGTGTACTGCATCGAAAACTTTCAGAGCTGGAGCGAGCCAGCGTAACCGCTGCCTTTTAATTGGCTGAACCATGTCAATGTCGTCGGGAATCTCGTACAGCTCATCGTTCCATCGAATGTGGTATTCGCCGTGGCCTACGCACAAAGGACCATAAATCTTTCGCAGAACTTTTCTCTCGAAAACTCGCAACGTCGACTCATCAGTTGTTGTCCATATAGCTGGACCGAAATTATGAGTGACTCATGTAGTTTGTTTTTCGTTCGTCGAGAGAGGACTTTGCTTCTCAATTGCCTACTCAGTCCGAAGTAGCATCCGCTGGCAAGAGTTATCCTGCGTTGGAGAAAGCAGAACTAAAGGCGCGGGTGTTGAGGCCGATGATATCAATATCGTCGGCACAAGCCAGCAGCTGTACACTCTTATAAAATATTGATTAAGTTCTGCAGTTCGAACCATTTTCTCCAGCAGTAGATTGAAGAAGTCGCACGATAGGGGGTCACCTTGTCTGAAACCACGTTTGGTATCGAACGGCTCGGAGAATCCTTCCCGATCCTGACGAAGCTTTTTTTTGCTGCTCAACGTGAGTTTACACTTATTTCGTTTGCCATGGTCGTCATCAACAGGGGGGTCACTCATCCAAGGCTTGTTGTTCCTTTTCATTGGTATGATTTTTTACRYGGCGGGTCCCAAACCCAGCGCACAACTCTGCGGAGAGGCTGTTTCGCTGTCTCTCTTTAGCCCGCCTTCAAACGGATGTTCTTAGGAAGTAGTGAGCTGCTTGACTCATATGTAAAAGAATTCTTTCTGGCCACTCCCAAGTGAATGGTGATCAGAGAACTTTCCTCACTTACGTGAACTTGTACACATGATCCCATCCTCATCGCAAAGAATTACATACTAATATTATTTTAGTTTTACCCGAAATATCCGTAAGTTTAAGGCGTTATATTTCAATACATCACTTCGGTTTATGGTGCCGCTACATAAACACATGGAAAGAGACATGATTTAACTGTTGGTAAACCTCTCAATGGCAAGTTTTTGATGCGATGCATCAGCTTGGTTCGCTGTTACTTGGAAGCTTTTATAATAATCAGTACATCACTGTGAGCGCTCATCTGCTGCCATTACCACTGATATGTTGATAATGATGATGCCTGCGCTAGGCTTGATGAGCTAATGGTGATTGCTTGCAGAGACGACTCTGATACTGCCACTCTGCCTGGTAGGCACTTTGCTGCTTCGTACGTGCTCAACCTAAAAATCACTCAATATCCACACCCACACCCTTCAAATTGACTTTCAACATGCGCCTGCCACACGCGCGCTGCCTCAAGAGCACTACACACATCCATATTTAAGTACGTATTTCTAAAACAAAGTTCAGTTATTTGCTATTTGCGATGTAAGTATGTATGTGTGACACGCTGACACGCTGACAAGCTGCCTCGCTCGCCTCGAGGCGCAGATCCAATATAACTTCAGGCATGGATGGATGGGCCCCCACACACTTTATTGCTTAGTATGTGTAGATGCGCAACATCACAGCTTCGCATTGCATGCAGCCGGAATGCCAAATGATTTCTGACAACTAAATTCATCGCAGTCCTAGCATGCCGAAGTTTTACTGCGCGCCTTCACGCTTACAACGAGCACGGAAGTAGATTTCAGAGTGATTTACCCACCGCTTGGCGTGCAGACAGCCAGCCAATCCAGGGAAGGTGATTGCCTGCAGACGAAACAAAAACACGCCACACAACGGGCAAGCCTCAGCATAAGCCAACTATTCGCATATAATCTTGGTGCCTTCGTTGGTGCGCTCCGAATCGGCTGTAATAAGAAGAGACGTAAGAAGAGAGCAATACAAAGAAAAGGAAGATGTTTTGAATAAATGCACGAACACTTCCGCCTGATTAGCTGATTGACAACATATTTTACGCTTCGATGTCACGCTTACTCTCGTCCACAATCCTCCCACCTTCGGTATGTTTCCGTGTGAATTGTATGTAGATTACAATTCAACAAAATGACACCCGCCGGACATACAGCGCACATCTGTCCCCCGCCACTCGTAGTCCTGCAAAGAACTAACCTAACTTGCAAATACGTACATATGTAGTTATTAGATAAAAATGTTTATTTTTTATTTAACATTTTTTTGGCAAGGCGAAAATTGTTGCAGTAGGGATATAGTCTTATAATTGAAATCAAGGAAATCTGGGATGCTTACCAAGGCTGGAGGTTTCGTCTTGTCAATCAACTTCACAAAATTACGGGTAATAATTCCTCATCACTTGGCCAAAGTCATGAAACATTGAACTCTGACCCAAAGAGGCAAAACTTGTAGCCGTGAAGAAAGAGTAAATACGCACGCACCAGACTTTCAACATACACTGGATCTACAATCGGCTTAACAGCATGTTATAGATATACTCTCGAAAATTATGACTGCGAAATATGCCGAAGACAGCATTTATTGGATTAGCATATTAGCAGATCAGACACGATACCTCTGCATGATTATTTATATTTAGTATCGGAGAATCAAAGCTTTGTTACAAGTTCAAAAGTAGAACGCGCAAGGAGGTGATAAGTTCAGACGGAGCCCAGTGTGAGTATTTTCAAAGAAATAATATCTAAGACAAAAGTTTGGCAGCAAATCATATTCAGTTTAGCTGAACTAATTGGACTTAAGGTCATTGAGACATTGTTGTGAAATTCTTGGAGCTGCACAATATTAAGCAAGAGCTCATATGATAATAGTTTAAAAGTTAAATAATACAAAGTAGGAACTTTTTCACTAAATTAGTCATGTTTCATAAAGGATGATCTAATTCGAGATTCCCTAGTTTTTTAAAGAAAAAGCACAAAAATTTTCAAATTTAATGGGGAATATTCAACATCATTCGAAGGAACACTCTTTGCAATATATTTTTTGAAGATTATCTCTTTCAAATGTGGCCGTACCTACGTCTCAGATGGTGCAGCCTTTGAGTTCAATATTCGATGACTCGTTCTAACATTTCAACTGGTATGTTGATTGATAAACGTGGAATGCACCGCGACCTTAAGTATGTTGTGCACTCTCCTAATTCACAAAGACTCACCTAGCACCAGCATATTGATAAAGGCCAATATGCTGCTGGGTGCTAGCGAAGCAATGTGATCCTTATTTGGAAATATAGAGCCAAGGGCCTACAACCTGCGTCTGCAGACTGCTGTACAGTCAATTTGCAGGTGCTCTGATGCTGCAGGTTTGCTGCCACAGGTGGCAAGTTACGCAAGAAGGCAGGCCCATGTTGTGCCGCTTGACTATCGCTAATTATGGTTGCGTTGGAGGTTTTTCTCTATGCACCGACTTATGCCAAAGGCTTGTGCCAGAAATAAACTTCCCATAGGTATAAAGAGTTTGGTACGTGCTCCTGGAACTCCTGCACCGATTATAACCCACGTCTTGAAGCCGCCTGTATACCACTTGATTGTACTATCCCTAAGCAGTAGCTTGTGAATGAAATCATTCTATTCAGCCTTACCGCCAAAAGTAACCTTGAATTTCATGGTGAAGTTAATCTTTCTGGTAATGCTGTCCTTTGGGAGAAAGGCCAATGATATTGTATAAATTAATTCTTTCATCCGCTGGGACGAGATTATCTTACCTCTCACACACCTGACCGATCGCTAGATGAAGTGATGTGAACTCAAGCATGACTTAAAGTGCTGCCGTCGGAAAACTCCGCATTGCATCCGACATGCAGATACACGCGAGTATTTCTAAATTCGATAGTTGGAGCCCTACCGTAGTCTTCAAAGCTTTTGAGTCACAGACCACATCCCCATACGTGATTATCGGCCACACAATCATGAAGTACAACCAATCCGAACCCTTCTTTATGGTAAGAAGATCAATTGTGGAAAAGAGCTCTGTCCCTAAGGACAGGAGAAGAACATCTAGAATCTCATGACAAAGTTACGAAAAAGTCGGTACAGTTGTTCAACATTATGGTGAACAAAAACATCAAACAGACAGTGGACGACAATGAACTGTAAAAATGTGGCTCTAGGCAAATGAAGGTAAAACCCTGGAAATTTAAAATAATAAAATTACTTAATATTTCTGACATGAAAAAGTTCCCTCAAATGCAGTTCTTGAAGTCTATATTTGGTCATATGCAATGTATATATAAGATAATTACAAAAATTGCAATAAATTTAAAGTGACAATAACAATCTGTATTGCTTGCGATCTTTTTTAAACGTAGTCGAAGTACTGATCCAAAAAATTCGAAGTCACTCGGCATTCGGAGTATAAACGCATACAATCGACGTCCGCTTTACCAGCCACAAAAGCATTCGTGTAAGCAACAGCGATACTTTCCTTTCCAGGTCTTCAAAAATATTAAAAACGTAAATAAATGCAATGGAAGAACTTACATTCAATCAGCTCACCTTAAAACCACATCCATTATCTCGGAAAACATGCCAACATGTTCGTCTACTTGTGCATTTTGGCAAATGGAACGCAACAAGCATTGATGTCCATTACCATGCTGACGCTCCATCAGTACTTCCAATAAAGTGTAGACAAATAAGCGAGAATCATCTGTCTCGAAATCAGCCAGCTCTTGGAAGTGTTTCATGGAACGTGCAAAAGTATTCTCCCATTTATCCCATGGATAGGTGGGCACCGCTGGTAAAGGATAGAAGCCACCTTGAATATTATTTATAGAGACTATCGAACGCCAAGCGATGGGCTCATCCACATTTACAGTAGCTATTGCGCCGGCGTCTATCTGAAATTAGTTGTGAGTTAAAAAAAAAAAACATGTTTTAGTTTCTTTTGAATTTTTGTGAGCCCTCATCAATTCCCATAAGGTTCAAAAGATTTACACGCAGTTACTTCACAAATGGTGTTTCCTCACAAGATATCCGAAACTTTGAAATAAGTGTTTGTCACTAACCACGAAATAAAAATCGTAAGATCCTTTTTGGACTCTTTATCTATATATAACTAACAGCGAAGACTAGAGAAATTTGACTGCATTTCGGGATTCTTGAGGTCCTGGCTTAATAATAGATTTACGGAAATTTAATGCTTCCGACGGCTCATAAGTGAAGGATCTTGTTGCTAAAAAAAAACTCAATAATCAAGTCCTATGATTTCACTTCGCATCATGCTCCTCGTTTCGAGGGCTTGGGAATACTACACACTGTTATTCACTGACTTGTCTGAAGTAAACTTCTGTTGTTACATTTCGTTTTGCATTTGCATTCCAGTACCTTGACTAGCCCGCCTCCTTCGAATATTAAAGTGCGCTTTTGACGACGGAAGTTCACAAACTCGGTCAGGTTTGCGCCGCTCTGTATTGGACTCAATTTGGCGGAGAACAATTCAGCATTCAACAGCGCAATTCCCAGGAAATAAATAACAAAATGCATATTAACTCTTAGAATTTTTGAATGCACTAACTTTTTCCCGTTAAGTCGCGTAGTGATAACCTCACTTGGAACCGACCTGCAGCAAATTGAGATGTCAAGCCGCCGAACGCCGACCTGCGAACGACGCTGTGTACCTTAGCAATTATGATCGAGCGGCAAAAGCAGCACAAGTGAGCGGCATATCGGCTTACTACTATGGATATAAGAGAAATTTGGGCGTTGAAGATAAACATGACAGAATAAATATTTTGTTAAAATATTAGTCCGATTATTAATCGAGTTGTCAAAGAGCTTCATATTAAATTATACAACCACACATGTTATGTACACAAAGTTATAAAAAGGTACTAAAAAGGAGACGTCTGCTTGCTACTTCATAGGTTTGCTCTACTTTTTAGCGCTCTTGGTGCCGTTACCATGCTGACGTAGTAGTTTTGATGATGTTTACGATGAATCAGAGATACTGCTAATTCAGTTAATTTTCGACACAAACAAAACAACAAGCGGAGCTAACAGCAGAACTGCTAGCCGTTGGCAGCCATGACCTTTGACATGTCACCTGCACAAACACATTTGTGCCGTGCATATATTGATGGTCGACCAAGTAAGTGGGAAAGGTGAAAACAGTGCACACTGTCATACGAGTCGTAGACCCACAGAATCACCAACTGTTTTGTTGTAATTCGAATTAACTAAGACTAACAAACTAATAGCGTAAACTTAAGGTGTGACTAATGGGAACGACAATCGAGAGAACAGACGGAGAAACCAGCCAAAGTGAAACATACAGCCACCCGCTTCGAAAAACTAGTCCTCTTAGCTATTCTTCTTCAGCATAGAAATGAGGACAGACTGCTTTATGTGATCCAAAATTTAAGTACCATGTTCGTACACACTCTCTAATGCCCGTTTGCGAAAGCAATGCTGACGAATTAGAGGTATTATGGCGTAATTGCAACAACTACAACAACAACATGGGTACGTAAAATGCATTAACTTTGCTAAGTAAAAACTCGTCGTGGTATGGGCTTGCACAATCGCTCGTGAATGCATTTGAATGGAGAAGATATCACCTTTCCACCAACAAAGCCTTTGAGGCAAATGCTTTAACTAAAGGTAATCTAATATTTCGAGTTAAACCTGCATAACTGAAAAGCGTCCCACTTCTTCAAACAACCACTCTCTCTCTCTTGTTTTTTATCATACGTGTCTGCGATTAAGGGACTTCTCACAGCTTAATCTATGTATGTGAGTGTTTGTAGTTCGTCGGCAAAAGTTACCTTCCGATTCGTTTTCAAAAATACCGTATGAATTACGTGGCAGTCGACCATGTCCATATACAGTCAGGAACATGTGTATTTACATAAGTCGTCAGCACTTAATAAGGTTTCTTCTCTGTCTACTGCTCTATTCTAGGTTTTCTATCTCTCATTATGTGTGTGAACGTAAGTGTGTGTTGTAATGTTAGCAAATGCGTAAATGTTAAATGGGTAATTTCTGCACTTAACTCTTTCACTACTTTCGCTTGCAAAGTTGTAAGACTCAAATCGTTTAAAGCTTCGAGTTAAGTATATTCTGGGCTTAACTCGAACAAAGATGAATGTTGTCGTTAAATAATTGTTGAACAAAAAGATCTGTATGTGTAAGTGCTATATGTATGTGACTAGGTCTAATAGTCGAATAAGTCTCGTCTTTTGCACAGTAACTGAAATACTGCATACAAAGCTCTTCTGAAGCTCTGCGTGCAAGAGCGTTATGGTAGGGCAGGAGGCGAGTATATAAGATTCGTTTGGGAGTACTTTGATGTGGAATATTATAACATTGAATAATTAAATTTTTAATTTTTAATTATTTTATACTTTTTGTATGCCCTAACGGTGTAACTGCATGTGTGTGGTTAGCTGTTATTATAATATTAAACGGGTTGCAAGAACATGTGCCTTTACCTCGTCGATCCCTCTCATACAAACTACAACAAACGTTTCCTCTTATGAACGGACTCTGACTGAGAAGATTCACATTGCTTGCCATGTAACAAATAACGCCTCTATATAGCAGTCATTAGTCACGTGCAATCTTAAAAACGGTTCCACCAAACTTTTTGTGTGGTCGTAATGTAATGTTATTTGTGTTTTTCTGTTTAACGCTAATTCCTGCTTTGTATAAAAAATACCTAGTTATTATTCTGATAATTTAATTAACATTTTTTATATTAACCTCTACATATATCTAGTATTTTATTTCCATACTGACACCATAGGTGGCGCAAAACTTGGCACTACTTTGGGGTTTGTTAGTACTTATCGATAAATTTAGACACGAAGTTGGCAGCACCCGGCTTTTCTTTCTACTTCACTAAATTTTTCTGACGCCATTGTGAAAAAAGTTTCTGCTTGTGAAGAGGTGTGAATAAAATAATTGTCGTGCAGCTCTTAATAATAAATAAGTGCTGAAGTCCAAAAAAAAGCAAAATCAATTTGCTCAAGTAAATCGAGAAATCAGAGGTAGATGTAAGTACATATTATGCAAGATATGCGAGGAATATTTTTTAGTACCTCGTGCCATTGATTTTTCCATTTTGCTAAGCCGGTTCATTTTGCTGCTAAGGGGGTGCACGTTATCTATAAAACTGTACTTATACATGATAGAGAATATGTATACATACATGAAATTTGCAAATAATTGAAATTTTCGAATTTAGTCGTTTCAAAATGCGAGGTGGACGTGGCGGATATGGTTCCCGGGGCTCCGGCTCAAGTCGTGGCGGTAACAATTACCGTAGCAATAATTATGGACGTATGCAAAATTCTGGCGGCAGATCTGGAGGTCGTGATGGATATAATCACAACTATAATAGCAGTGGCAATTCTCGTTATAACAATTATAACTCTGGTGCAAGCGGTAGCGCAGGACACTATGACCGCTCAAGGGATCGCTTCAATAATAGTTCGGTTGGCGGAAGCCGTCATGATTCTGCTCATAAGAGAAATTATCGCGTAAGTAGACTCTATAAAAATATAATAGACATGAAAGTCATCATAAGCAATACTAAAATTATAATGTAATGTCATATCTACATTTAAAACTATAATTACTGGTTTTGCAGGATACATCACGAGATCGCACTGATGATAGAAAACGTTCGAGACAAGATGTAAGTACACATTTTATTTATTGTCCAGACATTTAATGTATTAATTCATAAGGGAGTTCAAAATATTCCCTCGAATCTGAGTAATCGTAACAATTAACATTGATATTTTATGTATATTTATGCACGAATAGAAATATGTTTAGAAAGGTCGAATTTTGAAAGACGTGAAAACAAAAAAGTAAGCCATTTGCAACAATTGATTGAGAAATTTATAACTTTGTCACCAAAGCGGCCAGAGTACGTACAGAGAGACACTCTGCACTTGCTGTGTGGCAGAGTTGACACGTTTCAACCTAAAATACTATGGCAATGATAAGGCTCTTGGTCGCACGTAATGATTATAGAGCAACGTCGCCAATGTGATCGTCGAATGAATTTAATAGAGGCCAAAAATCACGCCATCTACTAAAGTATGCTTATATTGAAAGTTAAATAACATTAAATGTTACGTGTAAATTTAATTAGAGCTATGATCATCCAATGAAGTAAATAAATTCCTACGATGCACCATGCTGTTCCAATGCATCGCGTATTGCAAAAAATTAATAGTACAAAACAGTCTGAAGGTGGTAGCAACGATTCTATAACGATAATATGTACATTATTGTTTTGATGAGCTTTTTAGGAGATTTGCTTATGCTGCAGTGAAAACCTCCCCTTTTACTTACCCAATTCCTAAACAATATCAAATAAAAACTCATGTTAAAACCACACAAATCTAAAAACTAAATTGACAAAGTATAAATGCTCAAACTCGTGTATAGTTAAATCTTTAAGAATACATAAAACAAAAAAACATCCTCATCATCGTCAACAGGATTATAGACGCAACTCTTCAACTGGACGTGGGAATCGAACACCACCGCCCCCTCCCCCACCAATGGTTTCGACAGCATCGACATCTAACTACCGTAATACTGGTGGAGCAAACACAACTAGCAATTCGTATCGTGGAACAAACTCACGCAACGATCGAGATGACTCCACTGCTAATACCAGCCGCCACCGGTCTCCAATGGGCATACAAAAGCGTCCCATACGCACTGGTTACGTTTCAAGAGCTCGTGGAAATATGTCCTCATATCATCGTGGTGGGATGCGCACCACTATATTAAGGGGCGGTGTGCGCATCATTCGCAATAACCGGAATGATTCAAACGATTTGCGTATTATGCGACGCAAGCTGCTGTATGCACAACAGAAAGATCGCGCTCGTGTATTAAAGATACAGCGCCTCACAAGGTAATTAAAATACAGAAAACTGCATAAAAATTGCATTTGAGTTGACTTGAGTTAATTGTTGAGTTTTGTGAAAATGTCTTGAAGCTGATTAAAAGAACCGTCTATGGAAACATTAAAACAAACCAAGCAGAATATGTTGAGCTTAAGTGATTTGGGTTTGGTTGTAATCTCATTGTATTCAGAATTTATACTTTTCAAACAAGCATTATATAGTTTGATAAGCATATCTACGTTTCCATCGCATAAATTATAAGGACCTATAGTAATGATGTTATTTATTTTGAAACACTGGGGTTATTTGTATTCCTAAGCAAAACTGATGAGTTCATTGCTCTTTGAAAATTTTTACATATTATCCAAAGAGGCAATGATAAGAAAGATGTGATTTAAAAACGAGAGTCGTGTGTGTCTGATGCATTTATACGACCCCATACTGTAAAATCATAACAGCTGATTGACTTTTTCCACTCGAAGCACTTTTGACAAATAAAAAATACTTTAGCATCAGCAAGTACAAAATAATTTTGTTCAACAATTAATATACCACTTTTGCGTTTGCGCTACATAAATTAGCTCATTACGTCGTCGTAGGATAGTGCGTCGTTCGAAGAGCCCACGTCGTTCCAAGAAGGGTGATTCATCAGATGACGAAGAGGATAATGATAAAGACAACGATAGCGACAAGGACGATAGCAAGAGTGACACCGAGACAAAGAAAAAGACATCGAAGCGCAGCAGCAGTAAGCGTGGCAAATCTTCAGAAAAAGGAGATGATACCGAGAAAGCAGGTGACGGCGATGCTGACGAAGATGATGATGATGTAGAGGGTGATGAGGGATCTAAATCGGCGAAGAAAAGTAAAAAGGGTGAGGATTCATCAGCAGAAACTGATGATCATAAGGATGAAGAAGATGATGATGAAGAGGAAGCAGGTGATGGAGAAGTTGAAGGTGCCACAGGTGATGCAGCTACTGATGCAGATAAAGATAGTGGTGAAAAAGAGGTAAAGAAAGAAGGTAAGAAAAAAGAGAAGGAGAAGGAAGACGATGATCACAAAAAGGATAAAACCAAAAAGAGTTCATCCTCGAAGAAGGATAAGGAGAAAAGTAAGGACAGCAAAGAGAAACGAAAGAAGGACGATCATAGCGATGATGATTCAGAGAAGAAAGATAAGAAATCACACACATCACGCCGTGATGACTATAACAAATCACGCAACACAGGTTCAAGGGTCAATCTGACGTGCATTCACTGTCATACAGGCTGTTTCACATATCCGGTAAGTTCCAATACAATACGTAATAAAAATTGATTAGAAAGGAAGCAAATTATCTTACGACGTTTGCTTAAAGGCAAATCACACCTCAAATCTTCCTCTGACATTAAGAATATGTGTGCTTATATCTTCATTTTAAGTTTTGCAAAGTACTAATATATTGTCTATATTATCCCCAGGACTATCAACAACACTTGTATTCTCGAGTTCACAAGAACGCAATCCGACAAATCTCACTTCGTCAGAAGGCACATTTGTTACGCCTGCGTGCTCGCCAACGTGCGGCACAACGAGAAATCGAGGAGAATTCGAAAGAGGAGTATGAATCCAAGTTTTGTCACTTGTGTCGTCTCCATTACCGCCAACCGAAGGCTAAACATCAATTGTCCGAGCACCATAAGACCATGAAAAAGTTCTTAATGCCATATTGCTCAACTTGTCATTTGGCGTTTAAGAGCCCAATGCTTTACGAAACACATCGCTGCTCATTGGAGCACTTAAAGGTTAGTCCATTTTAAGCCAATGTCGTCAATATGTTTGTATAATATTGTTGTTTGATTTTTATTGCAGCGCAAAGCACGAAAACGTGATTCGGACAGTGACAACAGTGATGAGGATACCAGAGAGATTGACTTGAACAAATTCCTAACCGTAGATTCGGTGGGTGAAATTGACGAAATAGACGACATGGATGTGGATGCCTTGCTAAATGAAGGTGAAGGTGGTACAGATGGGGAAGAGAACAGCAAAGAGCGACAACCCGTTGGCGGATCTTTTATTAAGAAAGTTGATGCATACTTTTGCGAACTTTGCAACCATTATTCAGTCGCAAGCGATTCTGTAGAATCATATGCTAAAAAGCATTGCTTACTACGTTCACATCTCAAGGCGTACTTACGTAATAAAGAGGAAGAAGAAAAGGCAGCTAAAAAGGCTAAGGTGAAGGAAGAAAAGGAGGAAATTGAAAATGATAAAAGGGACTCTGTAAAGAAAGAAAACGATGCTGAACAGGAGGAGGATAAGGATGCTGCCGAAGGAAATGGCCATGAAAGTGGAGGCGAAGAGGTTGAAGAAGTTGGGGAAGATAAGCTTTGGGAAGATGTCGATAAAGACTTGGGTGACTTATTGAGAGAAGTCGGTCCAGAGGATCGTGATGATGAGGAAGAAGATGAATCTGTGCTCAACATTGATATTGAAAGGTAGGATAAAGATTGGATAAACTATTTTGTACATTTACACATTTAGTAACATAACACACAATTATAGTGAGAAACCAAAAGTTAAAGAGATAAATGGCAAGAAGGAGGAGCCGGCTGCTGCCCAACAAACCGTAAAGCCAGCACCGCCTGAGGTAAAGGAAGTAAAAGAGGTGAAAGCTGAAGCTAAGATACAAACAACACCGGCTAAACCCAAGCCACAGCGCAAAGTGGCTTCAGCCACTAAAACATCTGCATCCTCTGAAGCGAAGGAAAAATCGGCAGCAGCAAAATAAATTATACACCTTAATTTAACAACTCTCATTCTTAGTGGAAAATAATTAAATTAAAAACTTTTGGAACTGTAAACTATCGAATAAGTTTTATGGACTTGCTAATCTTAAAAGGGTTCTAATATAAGTGTTTTAATCGTTACTGTTTAATGCTGACATTGTATAACCTATTACGCATTAACTGTAATAAGATGTGCGGGAATAAATACACAAATAAAGAAAAACAACAGGCATTTTGATTTAAATGGACTGGGGTTAAATAAATAATCACGAGCCCACGAGGCTTGAATGTACATTCGTCGCTCATGAAAGGCTTCAGCATACACGGTGCACTCACAAATGCAAATGGGATGTATGCAAATTTACCAGATTGTGGAATAATTTACATATAGCCATAAACTCTAAACAGCCAGCTGTTTGCTGTATAACATAGGTGTCTAGGTGGCAGATTAATGCGCCAACAGGAGGAAGTTGTAAGCCACTTACTGGCACATTAAACGGTATCTACAACATTTGAAGATATAATTGCCCACAAATAAAAACGAATATGCGAGTTAGCGAGACGTAACGTGCAAAAGCTACGAAGACAACGGTTTTGCAGCGGTAGCAACTTATTTATTATTGTTTTGATTTTGTTTTGCTTTAACATTTTGATTTACGGCCAAATATAAACAAGGCAACAGGTGAAAAAGGGCACATCTGTTATGCTCGGCTGTGCTGGGCGACGGGCAATCGTTGGGAACTAGCGCGCTAGGTTCGAATGTGGAGATTGTTTTATTTTTTTTACTTCATTTTAATGTTATTATCAAATCGCCACTTCACTTTCATGTCCATACGCTCGCTGTGTACGCTGCGATGTTTGTGATTTCCTGTTGCAGTGGGTGGTGGCTGGTGTGTGTGTATGTGACACTTTTGCTTGGGAATTTGCTAGGTAAATGGAGTCATACTCTTAGATACTAATACATACATACATACTATCTGTCTGCATAATTCTTCCGTCACCATTTCCGTCGCTGTTGGAGGTTAGAAACAATGGTACGTTTTCATATTTTTTCCTTATTTATTTTCCTATTATCATAATTGATCGTTTTATTAGCATGAAACAAATTTTCAATTCCACTTTCACTGCTGACGTGATACATCACGAAGATGGCGCCACATGCTGTTGCAGCGTGAGGAGCATGCATAATGGAAATTGGCAGTGGAGAGGAAATCCGCTGCGGTTTGATTACGTAAAAATTTTGCATTTTTTATTGCCGGCATTCATAATCACATATGTATGTACATATTTGTGCGATCTTAATACTTACATATGTCATATATTGTATAAAAAATACTTAGCCAAGGATATGGGCGTACCACGGAGCTGACGGAATAAGTAAAGAAATATATATTCACCGTTTTAGGAGCACGAAGGAGATCGACTTTTGTGTAACATTAAAGAAATCAAATATATTAAACACATCTGGTGGATTACTTACAATAAATTCGGATCCACATCGATATAGCAATCCTGGAAGTTCTTTTAAGGGAACATATGGTATGCATAGGCATAAAATTTTAATAGCATCATCAAATTCAACTTCGTAATCATGAAGTCCCACCCTGTAGAGCATTAGTCAGACTAGTACCGTTGCATTAGTCACAAATGCAGCAGCAGTTCATATTATGTTAAAAATATCCAGTACGATCGCACGAACGTATAGAGGAGTAGCAACATTTTCCCACTTATTCGACACAGCCTGTCACACCAGATCAAATGGGTTTTAAGCAGTCCCCGAAGTCAATTAGCGTATTATTTGCGCTTATTATAGTACTTATTGACTACTTGAAGAATGACCAGCACCTATGAGGTATACGCTGATTAACATACATATGTACGTATGTATATATTTCATGTTCCTATTTCAACTTTGGATTTGCGTGAGTTCCATTGCTTCGACGGACAAAAAAGTGCACGTGAACCATTGACGATGTCTGCTCGTAACGAGTGCATTTCACTTCAGGGTCTATATTAACATATCCACATGTGCGCAATATACATATTTATGTATGTAACTGCACATATTTTGAATAAAATGTTTAAGATTTATAGTTACATTGTTCTACAGTTGCAATGTGGATGCTACAGTCGCGACTGTTATTCAATGTTGCCAATCCGGTTTGTTGAGCTCATCTACTATACTTTTCTGTTTTTGTTTTGCGCTTTGCACTTTGATATTTGAAAAATCAGCGGGTGCATTGCTGCCACAATTGATGCACTTTCGAGTCACAATCGTTTCGTTTCATTGAATTGTGTGCATACATATGTATGTATGTTTTACAACAAAAAATAATGGTTGGCCATTAAACTTAAATGAATTTACTAAGGAAACAAATGGCAGTACATATAATTATGATTGCAACTATTCATTGTTTCTGAATACAACATTGTCAAACGAAAGAGATCATTTTATTTTGAGAAAATGAAATAAAATAACACACATACACTCACTAAAGTTATTACAGTGATTTTTTGGATTTTATTGTTAAATAATTTTCCTTGATTACACCTATTATTGGAATCAACTTTTTGACAAGGTCTATTCACCGTATTACTGTTCCTTATTTTAGCTTATAGGCTTTAAATATATGCATATTTAGGGTGATCCATTTCAAGGTTCCCTACTTTTTCATAGAAAAATCACAGAATCCTCAAACTTAATGGGAAATGTTTAATATCGTTCGAAAGAACATTCTTTGGCATTTATTTTTGATGTGATGATTTGCTCCAAAGCCTGAATCGAAGCGGGATTGTCCGCATAGACTTTAGACTTTACATATCCCTACAGGAGTCCAACGGTGTTATATTAGACAATCTTGGTGACCAATCGCCCCGCCCAAAACATGAAATTATCTATTTACCGAAATGTTCTCTCAATACATTACGTTCTCACCGGTATAACTTTTGAAGGAATATGGACCAAGGATTCTCCCGGCCCACTTACCACAGCAAACCATTGTTTTTTCTGGAAGAAGTGGCAGCTCTTGAGTTTCTTCCGGTTGCTCTTCGCCCCAAATGCAGAAATTTTGCTTGTTTACATACTCATTGATCCAGAAATGGGCCTCATCAGGGAATAAAATTTATATCGAAAACGTCGGATCTTCTTGGAACTTTCAAGAGCCCATAGAGCGAGCGATATCGGTTGGGAAGTCGAACGGCTTCAGTTCTTGCACAAACTGTATTTTGTGCACTTTCAATTTAAGATCTCGACGTAAAATGATCCAAGTCGTTCCATACTTCAGTCCGAGTTGCTGCGAACTGCCCCAAAACCGACCTCTCCACCGTCTTCGGTACTCAGCTACGGTTGCTATATTTTCTGCTGGATGTGGTCTATGCTGTGTTTTAAGAAAGGTAATGAAACTGCCAATAATACGCTTAGTATACCGATTATACTGACCGCGCGAAAAACATTCTTTACAGAACAAAAATTAAATGACAGCTTGACACGACTCACGCGGGATGTGTCAAAACAGACTATTGAAAAAAGTGCTTACTTAGAGATAGATTTTCTGGCAGGAAATGCATACATATATAGCGTTATATAAATGTATACATGAACATACATATATACCGAGATCGGTTTTTGAAATCCAACAAAACATGTTTCATGCACGACCAATGCACGCTTGTAATACTTTTCCAAGTAACATACTCATTTTAAAACACAAATTTGCAATAATTGATTGTGACTAACCACATGTGAGCTTAGTGCTCAGAGACTCCTCTGCAAATTTAGCATGCGATTTCTGTGATTATTACGCATACAGCGGCTTACTCTTAATCTTTCAATTATGTCTAAGAATTTTGTATGGAAAATTTGATAGATCTTGGGAAAACTCCCATATCACATAAACGCAACGCATTTATTCGCAGTCCAGTGTGTGAATATGCATGTGTGGATATGGGTATGTTTTAACAATGAGCTCTGCAACTCTCAAGGTTTTCAGCCGAGGAGAAAACTTAAGGCTCTTTTTTATTTCATAATCGAGTTCTTGAGTTCTCAACACCTTCAAAGCAGTCATTGTGTTAGTTTCTGCTGTAGGCCAAACCCAAAGTTTTTCATCAAATTCATTGTATGCACATACATACATAACTAATTGGCGTGTAAAGTTTACACTGTAAACAGATTTTCTCTGCGCATACTTATAGTATCTACACACATACACATGTATGTATGTATATATTTTTAAAAAGCCAAGACATAGTCGAAACTAATGTGAACATAATGAAAATCTAGATTAATGAGCACACTTAACATAACTCGCCTGAGAATAATCTAAATTTGCATTTGCTTTTGTTATTTGCACCGCGTGAAAAATCATAAGCACCGCAAAATTATTCAAGCAAAGAACTAAATTTAGAGTATGGCAAGCTCTCTATTTCGAAAGCGGTTTATAGTTATTACTCAATCAGAACACGGTTTCGAGCGATTTCCATGAACCTTGCTCAACTTTACTCAGCGAAATTAAAAGCAAATTTGAAATAAATACATCCATTAATAAATTCGAAATCAATTGCCAATATTTAAATACGCATGTACAAATATACGTTGTTAAATAAAATGAGCAGAAAGCACGCTCTGCTATAATGATCATGATCTTTAGTCATGCTCCATCTGTGCCACTTCCTCATTGCAACACATTCTATTGAAAATCGCCGCAACGCTTGTTGTTTTCGTAATTGGTAGTTATTGTTTTTGTTGTCTGTTTGGTTTTCTTATCTCGCTATTTGTGGTTTTAATTATATTAATCAACAGTAATTTCACTTCGTCACTAAGTAAGCGTGCGTTATTGCTGCCAATTTCCGCTAATTTCCCATTTAATTCAGCAACCTGTGCGGACGCCAGGGGCCATAGATTGGTTTATGTTAACTTTAGTTCCAGGAGTCTTAAGTATCTTGTGATGTATGTTTTTAATGTCTTAGGTAGTCTGCTTACAGTGGCAGCAGAAACCGGCATAATATTTCTCTCTGCCATCCTCTGTCGTCAACATCTCGCTTGCTCCAATATGCCGGAAATTTTTCTTGCTCTAAATCGTACTTAAAGCAAACAGTGAAAATCCATGCACTGTAATCTCTTTTCAAACGAATAATTTTCCAAACGCTGGACACATTCTGTTGTCGTAGTACACAATAGTCTGGTAGATATTCAATTTTTCAAAGGTTTTCCAAGTGAGTGCAT